AGCTCCAAGGGGTACCTTCACAATATTTGGCTAAATTTTAATTCCATCAAAAAAGTTGCAAAAATTGACATGAATGTTTCTATTTACATATACCATCCTTTGTGAAATTTTCATGCCAAATAGACATGTCAATAATGTCTTAATTATTCTTTTTTTAGTTTTGGCCTCAAGCCCTAGGGGTACGTACCATCATGTTTTTTTGGCCAAATTTTAAATTCATCAAAAAAGTTGCCGAATTTGACATGGATGTTTCCATTTGAACGTAAAATTCTTTGTAAAAGTTTCATGTCAAAAAGTTTTGTCAATAATATCTAAATTATTATTTTTTAATTTTTGCCCTCGAGCTCCAAGGGGTACCATCACAATATTTGTAAAAGTTTCATGTCAAAAAGTTTTGTCAATAATATCTAAATTATTATTTCTTTTAGTTTTGCCCTCGAGCTCCAAGGGGTAGGGGTACCATCACAATATTTGGCTAAATTTTAATTTCATCAAAAAAGTTGCAAAATTTGAAATGAATGTTTCTATTTACATATACCATCCTTTGTAAAATTTTCATTCCAAATAGACATGTCAATAATCTCTTAATTATTATTTTTATAGTTTTGGCCTCGAGCCCTAGGGGTACCATCACGTTTTTTTGGCCAAATTTTAAATTCATCAAAAAAGTTGCCGAATTTGACATGGATGTTTCTATTTGAACTTAAAATCCTTTGTAAAATCTTCATGTCAAAAAGTCTTGTCAATAATATCTAAATTATTATTTTTTTTAGTTTTGCTCTCGAGCTCCAAGGGGTACGGGTACCATCACAATATTTGGCTAAATTTTAATTCCATCAAAAAATTTGCAAAATTTGACAAGAATGTTTCTATTTACATATACCATCCTTTGTAAAATTTTCATTCCAAATAGACATGTCAATAATGTCTTAATTATTATTTTTTTAGTTTTTGCCTCAAGCCCTAGGGATACCATCACGTTTTTTTGGCCAAATTTTAAATTCATCAAAAAAGTTGCCGAATTTGACATGGATGTTTCTATTTGAACGTAAAATCCTTTGTAAAAGCTTCATGTCAAAAAGTCTTGTCAATAATATCTAAATTATTATTTTTTTAGTTTTCCTCTCGAGCTCCAAGGGGTACCATCACAATATTTGGCTAAATTTTAATTCCATCAAAAAAGTTGCGAAATTTGACATGAATGTTTCTATTTACATATACCATCCTTTGTAAAATTTTCATGCCAAATAGACATGTCAATAATGTCTTAATTATTATTTTTTTAGTTTTGGCCTCAAGCCTTAGGGGTACCATCACGTTTTTTTTGGCCAAATTTTAAATTCATAAAAAAAGTTGCCGAACTTGACATAGATGTTTCTATTTGAACGTAAATTCCTTTGTAAATGTTTCATGTCAAAAAGTCTTGTCAATAATATCTAAATTATTATTTTTTTTAGTTTTGTCCTCGAGCTCCAATGGGTACCATCACAATGTTTGGCTAAATTTTGATTCCATCAAAAAGAGTTGCAAAATTTGACATGAATGTTTCTATTTACATATACCATCCTTTGTAAAATTTTCATGCCAAATAGACATGTCAATAATGTCTTAATTATTATTTTTTTAGTTTTGGCCTCGAGCCCTAGGGGTACCATCACGTTTTTTTGGCCAAATTTTAAATTCATCAAAAAAGTTTCCGAATTTGACATGGATTTTTCAATTTGAACGTAAAATCCTTTGTAAAAGCTTCATGTCAAAAAGTCTCTTCAATAATATCTAAATTATTATTTTTTTAGTTTTTCCCTCGAGCTCCAAGGGGTACCATCACAATATTTGGCTAAATTTTAATTCCATCAAAAACGTTGCAAAATTTGACATGAATGTTTCTATTTACATATACCATCCTTTGTAAAAAAAAAAATTGCACAAAATCACAGAATTCATTACCAAAACACTAGTTCAAACACATTACAACATACCTCAGCTCTAACCATACCTACATAACAACCATATTAAACTACCTTCATATAGCTTAGGTAACATTTAATATAAAAAATTGCTTGGTGAATAGCCTCTCCAGCTTCACTCCTTCTCTGGTGGATTCTCTCGTTCCTCCATCTCCACACCTGGTAAACGCAGGTAGCCCAGGTTGCTATCCACTTTTACATGTGCTTCCCCCCCTGCCATTCCTTGTATTGCTCTCCTAAATTCCTCATCAGAGCCTATGTTATACCGTAGGTCAAGAGCATTCATTACTGCTTCAAATAGGGAAATTGACACTGCACATTCACACAGCTCACAGTTGGTGTTAATGTTCATATTTGTCTGCAGCCTCCCTCTCCAAAACAGCGAGATTATAAATCTGATCTTGGGTGGGGTAAATTTATTCCACACCCAGTCTCTCCATTTAGGTTTCTCCCTAGCTCCTTGAAGCCAATCATATCCCTTGCTAATAGTGTATGGATATTGTGTTGGCATGTCTGCAAATTTTTCCTTCACCCTCATCATTTCCTTCCAGTAGTGGCAAGAATCCTGCTTAGGCTTATACGTCCAGAAGTCACACTCTTTAATATATCTGGCGTGTATCCATCTAACCCAAAGGATGTCCTTCTTTCCATCTATGTCCCAAACAACATTCATGATGGGTGCATAATTCCAGTTCATCACATTCCTTATACCTAGCCCACCAAACTTCTTTGGTTGGCAAACCTCATTCCAGTTGACCAGGGGGACCTTCTTGTACTCTGTTGTACCATTCCAACCTTTGTAAAATTTTCATGCCAAATATACATGTAAATAATGTCTTAATTATTATTTTTTTAGTTTTGGCCTCGAGCCCTAGGGGTACAATCACGTTTTTTTGGTCAAATTTTAAATTCATCAAAAAAGTTGCCGAATTTGACATGGATGTTTCTATTTTAACGTAAAATCCTTTGTAAAAGCTTCATGTCAAAAAGTTTTGTGAATAATATCTAAATTATTATTTTTTTAGTTTTGCCCTCGAACTCCAAGGGGTACCATCACAATATTTGGCTAAATTTTGATTCCATAAAAAAAAGTTGCAAAGTTTGACATGAATGTTTCTATTTACATATACAATCCTTTGTAAAATTTTCATGCCAAATAGACATGTCAATAATGTCGTAATTATTATTTTTTTAGTTTTGGCCTCGAGCCCTAGGGGTACCATCACGTTTTTTTGGCCAAAATTTAAATTCATCAAAAAAGTTGACGAATTTGACAAGGATGTTTCTATTTGAACGTAAAGTCCTCTGTAAAAGCTTCATGTCAAAAAGTCTTGTCAATAATATCTAAATTATAATTTTTTTAGTTTTGCCCTCGAGCTCCAAGGGGTAGGGGTACCATCACAAATTTCCCTCGGACATCAGCACAAATTTCCTAAGTATCGGTTTTGAACGTCCCTGCCCGGCTCTGCGCTCCGCTCGTCCTTCCTGCCCGGCTCTGGGCTCCGCCCGTCCTTCCTGCCCGGCTCTGCGCTCTGCTCGTCCTCCCTGCTCGGCTCGGCCAACCAAGCCGAGCCCGAGCCTCGCGACAATGACATGCGGAAAGCGACGTTCAATGGAGACTTGAGGAAAGCGATAGGATGAAAGGGACAAGACGTAAGGACAGGAGACGTCCGCTAGACGACGGGCATCGATTAGAGAGCTTTGACTTAGCTTATTGTACCCCCTATAAAAGGGGTGGCACCCCTCATTGTAATGGATCCCGATTTTGAAATCAATATACTCTTACTTTGCATTCTCTCTCTCTAAAACTTCTATTATTTTATACTCTCGGTGGTTTATAGCCATCAGGATGTTTCTATTTGAACGTAAAATCCTTTGTAAAAGCTTCATGTCAAAAAGTTTTGTTAATAATATCTAAATTATTATTTTTTTAGTTTTGCCCTCGAACTCCAAGGGGTACCATCACAATATTTGGCTAAATTTTGATTCCATAAAAAAAAGTTGCAAAGTTTGACATGAATGTTTCTATTTACATATACAATCCTTTGTAAAATTTTCATGCCAAATAGACATGTCAATAATGTCGTAATTATTATTTTTTTAGTTTTGGCCTCGAGCCCTAGGGGTACCATCACGTTTTTTTGGCCAAATTTTAAATTCATCAAAAAAGTTGACGAATTTGACAAGGATGTTTCTATTTGAACGTAAAGTCCTCTGTAAAAGCTTCATGTCAAAAAGTCTTGTCAATAATATCTAAATTATAATTTTTTTAGTTTTGCCCTCGAGCTCCAAGGGGTACCTTCACAATATTTGGCTAAATTTTAATTCCATCAAAAAAGTTGCAAAATTTGACATGAATGTTTCTATTTACATATGATGATTGAGTTTTTCGGTAAGTCAACCTTCCCAATGAAGGGTTAGTTTTCTCCGAGTGTCGTGTCTCTCGAGGAGTGGACGAAGGGAATTAGCTAATTTTTCTAACTAGACGAAGGTTTGGACAAGTCTGAAAGTCTTCTCAGTCCACAAAATCTCTTCAATAAGTGGATCTAGCTGGTCATCGTACATTAGCCCTTGTTGGTCATAATCATCTTGATCACCATGAGGTTCATAATAATCCCCACAGTTGTCTTGGTATGGAGAATATCCAAATCTCCGAGACGGGGTATTGTATGGTGCTTCTTCATGGTATGGATAATAATCAGGTCCATTATTGACGGAGTAGTCATCACAATATGAATCCTGATGTGGATAATATGGTGGTGGTGATGGTGGATAGTAATTGGACTCTTGGGAAAATGATGGTGGATGGTTGGGTGGTTGGTAGAAAGGAGGCGGATCGTAGTAATCATCTCGAAAATTCATTTTTAATGATTACCACTGGTGGTTTTTGGAAAAGAGGTGAGAAGATCGACCTAACCGGTCTTCACCCAAGCTAATTAAAAAAAATTAAA